TGCCCAAACTGCAACCCAAAACCCACTTATGTATAGTCGGGTGCTGGGTGGAAGTGGCCAATTGCATGGGCGTGGCCAATTTGGTGGGCGTGGTCAATTGGGTGGGCATGGCTGCAGTGGTAACGCCAGACTAGGTGGGACTAAAAAGTTCAATCAATCAATTCCAACTTTGCGAGATCTTTTTTTCCCCGCGAGAAGTTGAAATTGATTGATTGAACCTTTTTTTTTTTGCACACGGCGGTGGCGGCCTAACATGAAAAGGTTTTATAAAACCCAGCTGAAGGCCTAGGACTGGGGCACGCGTGCCATAGGGTCGCCACCACGGAAATAGATTATATGGATCTTCTTCAGATGTGGTCAGTTAATTAATGTCAGAAGAGTTTGTGAGTATAAAAAAAAGTGATTTAATTGAATAGTCTGCCTTGAGAGCAATATTATACCTCTATTTCATCTAATCCATCCACCTACACCATAAGTACTGCCTATACATGTTCAAAATATACTAATATACAGTTATAAGAAATATTTGATGAGAAACCTGGATATAAAAGCACAAACCCAGACATACCATTTTTAGTAACCAAAAACTGCTTATCTGTTGGGAGGTAAGCCTTGACTTTTAATTCTTCTCCAGTACCCCTTAAAATGCAAACACAAACAATAATAATAGCAACAAAACAGCAAATTATTTCTTGTTCAGAACCACTATGTTTTTGCTGAAGTTGATATAAACATAGAAACAGTTTTAAAAAATAGTTTGCTATTTGCCTTGGGAGAGGAAAATGACTATAAGCCTAGAGTCTAACTAACAGATAATTGTAGTTTAATAGTTATGAATCTCAGTTCAAATTTCTACATTACATCAATATTTTCAAAATGTTATTAAATGACAACTAAATCTGGAGTATGCATGAAAGGAAACTAAAGCATTATTAATTTGGAGTCAGAATAGTTGTAACTATGTGGCCTTTTTGTCTTATCACTTTTATAATACTAAATAACATAAACCTATAAAAACATTGGTAACTACACAGGTAAGAAACCAAAAGTCAAATTTAATTCTACCAAAGGAGGAAATATATTTGAATTTAGATGATTCTCCCTTTCTGTTAACTCACAACTTATTGTAAGAAACACACGCATCTTCATACAATAAACATACCTAAATGCTCTTAAGAGGCAGATTCTGCAGAATTTTACCTACCATTGCCAAGTAGGACAGTGGTGAACTAAATGGTCTCCAGCTGCTATGAACTGCCAAAACAAAACAGCAAATGTTGATATATTTCATATACATATACATACATACATACATAACATACACACACACACATATAGTGTTAGCCTACTGTCTTTTCTGGACTTAATCTACACAGGTTATATTGTAGGCCCACATAAACCACTAAATAATGTAAAACATAAACAATTCCAAGTACGTTCAATGGGATGTTATTCCAGCAACAGGCCTACATTACAACATTAGCTGTAAACCTTAGATCTTATAGTAACATGCTATGATTCTAGACAGCTTTAATAAGAAGTAAAAAAAACCTGCCATAGGAATTTCATTTTATCGTTTTTCAATATTTACTTCAACAAATAAGTAAATCATTATATACATACCTCCTCAGGAGTGATAACTCCAGTTTCTTTAAACTTTGATTCCTAAAGAAAAAAAATGTCTGTAAACATTTAAAATCAAATGCCTTAAGATAATGAAAAGAAAATGATAATGCTTTTAACCTGTACTCATTCTATTTGGTCAAATATTTCCTAGTTTAACTTTGCAGCAGTCTTCACTTTGCAATCACTGCTTTTATTGCTCATATAACATTTATATTAATGAAAAATAGATATGACAATTTAAGTTTTTTCACAATGAGAGGAAACTACTTTTAGATAAAAAAAATAAAAATAAAACACTTTCCAGGCTTTAATACTGTTTGTGCTAACTATCTGTATTTCTTGAAATTTTGGTTCAAGAGGAGATTAGACGTTTCATAAAGTGTCAGAATCACCATATTTGAACTTTCAAGGCAAAAATATCTGCTCTCTTGTGTTATATACATAATGAATCTCTGAAAATGCATCATGCCAAGAAAGTGACATTTGATTTTAATCACAGGGTACATAGATAGGCAAAAATAAAAGATAATTAACATTTAGAAAATACTGGTTTTTAAAGAGCCCTGTTGGAAAGTATTTTATTTTTTTATTTTCTATTACCCAAAAGAACTATTTCATATCACAAAAGACTTCTTTATTTTTCAAATGTTATAATAGTGTGGTAGAAGATTCTAGAGATACATTTGATAGAGCAAAGAAGAAAAATCTGGGGACAATCATTTGTTACTGAACTACGACTTTCAACATTTCTCACTGTTGGCCATCTTTAGGCCAGGACCACAGGAATTTTAGTTCATTAACTTCTGGAGGGCACCAAATCCCCAATCATGTTTTAGAGCAAGTGATAAAAATGAAATATTTCAGGAATTCTATTGAGAGCTGCAAAGTTTGTAGGGGAAAAAAAACCTAATAAAGTTTGTGAGAAAGTTAAAAGCAACCTGAGGCAACCAAAATAATAGGAGTTAACAATATACAGCAGTACAATAAAACGCCTACACTAAAAGTTAAGATCAATCCTAAAAAAAAATACAATACAGAGCTGTCCACTTTACAATTATGTTTTCTCAGTCATTTTAGCCCCCTCCACTGAAACAATTCCATTTTTAACTATTTCAGAATATCAGGAATGTGGGGGGGTCATTCCTGATACCAGCAAGAAACTTCCACAGTGTGAGTATAGCCACCAAAATAAAGACAGCCTGCTTTTCACACTAATAGTGTGTATGGGGGGCGGGGGCATTAAAGATTTCTTCTGAGACACAAATGCCAGGCAGATTGAATTTGGCTGGAAATATTTTCACCTTTAAGTTCCACTTTACTTTGTTTTTTTCTATATCTTTATTGTTAAAATATTGAAATATTGTACCTTGCTACCTTAATAAGCCTTTTTTTTCTCTCCACTTATCTGCCCACTGTACAAGAATCAAAACATTTTTTAAATTTTAGTCCACATTTAACAAACATAAGATGAAAGCATAAATTATGTTAATAAGGAGTTTGATACAAGAACCAGTAGATAACATTGCACATACTCATCACACATTCATGCCATATGCTCACTCCAGAAATATGCATCTTTCTCCACTATGGTATGTTGTGACAAAATCCTGCAATGCCAGCAATCCTCTGAACCAAAGAATTTTCAGATCCTTTATTTTTCAGCAGAAAATGGCAATTTTAATTTTGCTTTGCCTATGCATTTGCCTATCAGACTCACTTTTCTTTTTCATAAGATGTAACTACTGCCTTATCACTGATCTTTGGACACCTGTTCAGTTTGGAAAAGTAGCAAGACTCTTGCCACTGTTATAAAGGATAATTGGGCAAAATGGTCTCCCAAGAGTGAGAGAAATACTCAAGACAGAAGGAACTAGTTCTCTTGGGCCAAAGGCCACCGGCTCCTGGACTCTTAAGTCTAGTTGGGAAACTCATGTTCCTCCAAAGTGGCTAAATTAGAATTCCCATATATTTTTTTTAATTTCATATTTTTAATTGCCTTAAATTCTGAAAACTGCCGTCCATCAAGATCACAGATTCAGCCTTAAGTTAAAAAGTTTGAGAGCTCTCCCTGCGGACTGAAGAAACGTCTTTCCAAAACCTAGCATTCTTCAGACCTACACATTATATTTCTGACCCCTTTCCAGCCTGCAAAGGGACGATACGTTAGAGCAGGGCTAGTCAACCTTGGCTCTTTTATGACTCGTGGACTTCAACTCCCAGAATTCCTGAGCCAGCTTAGCTGGCTCAGGAATTCTGGGAGTTGAAGTCCACGAGTCATAAAAGAGCCAAGGTTGACTACCCCTGCGTTAGAGACCAAAAGTTTGGGGAACAGTGAAGCGACCATTCCTTTTTCCCCCCACTTTGCAAAAATCTTCACAACTACTGCCGTCCAAGTCTATCGGACTACAATTCCCACAATCGGCCCAGGGATTATGGGATCGTTAGTCCAAGTCGAAGAGGGCGACCAGGTAATAAAAAAAATTGTCCCTGCCTGTAGCTCCTCCCCTCCCCATTTTGTGCTCGGTGGGCGGGGCCTCACCTTTAACACCGGCGTGAGATATTCGGCCACCTCCAGCGCCTTTCCCTTCACCGTGTTGATGACGCTCTGCATGGTGCCTCGCTCTGTTAAGGGGGACAGAGGGAAAAGCGCCTGTCACCGACAGCCGACCCGCAAATTCAACTGCGCCGTCGCTCTTCCCTTCTTCAGCCTTTCCTTCCGGGAGCTGAGAGCTACCGAGCGCTCCCCGCCCACTACTTTCAATGGGGGGGGGAAAGCAGGGAGTCACGTGAATTCTCTTGACACATGACTTTTTAGGGTCCCGCCCCGCCCTTCCTTTCTGCCCGGCGTCAATCGCAGAAGCTGCGCCTGCGTGGAAATAGAGAGTGGAGTTCGTGGCTGAATCGCGTCATCCGTAGATCTACAACATTTGTACTTTGTTTACTTGGCTTGGTGCCTCTTACGTCCCCAGAGTCGTAATTCTAGATCGTTCCACGGGTTCCGTTTGTAAAACTGTAAGCCAGTGTTTCTCAACCTTGACCGTTTTAAGGCAGGTGGACTTCAACTCCCAGAATTCCACCGCCAGCATTGCTGGCGGTGGAATTCTGGGAGTTGAAGTCCACCTGCCTTAAAATGGTCAAGGTTGAGAAACACTGCTGTAAGCGAACGCTTAAACGGATATCGGAACAGCTCTCTACGGCACTCCTTGTGACTTTGCGAAAGTATTTACGTAGGTGAGACGTTTCTTAGCTCTATGGAGGCCGTTTTCATCCGAGTCATTGCGCATGCTTCTCCGCCCGGTGCATCATGGGAACAAAGGAGGCGGCTGGGAAGTGCCGGCTCGCCTTCTCAACTCTGCGCGTGCGTGCCTGAGTGACAGGTAGACTAAGGCTGGGGCGATGCCGGGAGAGAAGCCGCAACTGTCAGGTAACGGAGCCTTTGGCTGAGGGCTTNTTCAGCCGGAACGCGGCGGAACCGCGTTCCGGCACCTTTTTCCGGGCCGGCCGCACCGGAAATAGCCCCTCCCACACCGGAAATAGCCCCTCCCAAATTTTACTTGCATTCCTGTTCTCTAAAGGGGCGGTCCTAGGGTTTGATGAGGGCGTGGCCAGGTTTGAGTTCGGCCACCTTTTCTCCGAGAAAAAAAGCCCTGGTTATAGTCCATGAATTTGTTCAATTTCCTATTAAAAGATGTCCAAGGTGACAGTGGTTACTACAACGTAAACTTAACGCTGTATTGAAATCTGTCCTGCAAATGCTTAAAAAAGTTCTTTCCTGCACCAGGTAATCCTGTTTTTGTACTTCAGAGAACTTGAAAATTTGTACCGATTTATTTTTATTTGTTAAATTTGCCACCTATCTCACCATAGGGCTGCTCTAGGCGGCTTACAACAATAAAAAGGAAGAAACAAAAAGAGCGAAAACAAAACAGAATACATTTTGTAATGCATATAATGCTTCACTCTGTGGCTGCCCACATTTTTCCGGTTTTGAAAACAAAACAATGGGAGGAATTTCTTCAGGATGTCTCCCTTTGGTGTTAACAGAGGGTGTCATGGTAGGCTGCAGGCTATTGGAGAGACTGTATAATAAAAGACAAGGATTTGTATGCACCACATAGACCAGTGGTGGCGAACCTATGGCACGGGTGCCAGAGGCGGCACTCAGAGCCCTCTCTATGGGCACACGCGCCATCGCCCCAGTCCTAGGCCTTTAGCTGGGTTTTATAAAACCTTTTTGTTTAAGGCCTCCGCAGCCATGTGCAAAAAAAAAAAAAAAAAAAAAGGTTCAATCAATCAATTTTAACTTCTTGCGGGGGAAAAAAAACGATCTTGCAAAGTTGGAATTGATTGATTGAACTTTTTAGTCCCACCCAGTCTGCCGTTACCACCACAGCCATGCCCACCCAATGGGCCACGCCCACCCAATTGGCCACACCCACCTGGCACTCGAGGATGCATAAGTGGGTTTTGGGTTGCAGTTTGGGCACTCAGTCTCTAAAAGGTTCGCCATCACTGACATAGACACATACAGATTCCCACATCTTTACTAAATAAATGGAAGAGCATCACTCCCCACTCATCACAAATTCAATCAAATTCTTCTGTCCTTTGAAAAAAAATTCAAAACCAATTTCTCTTCCCATCCCATTGAGGAATGGCCTGCATGCCTCTATATGTATTAGCAAATGCTGGGAATTAAGTGGGTTGAAGAAGTATTTTCTTATTTGTGTCTAGAATAGCCCATCATTTAACCACACTGGAGGGGCCTTGGATTCTGGAACTATATATGAGGGAGAACATCATGTCCTGCTGTGTCACACCCTTGACCAAATTAAAATGTTGCTCCTACATTTTTTCTTGGGATAAGCTACCCCATTCTGTTAATTGTCTTCCTCTTTTTTTTAAATCCAACTTTCTTCAGCATGACAATACCTTTTTTGAAGTGCAGTCAGGGCTGTGGAGTCGGAGTCGGAGTCGAGGAGTCGGAGGAAATTTTGGGTACCTGGAGTTGGAGTCGGCAAACAATGCACCGACTCCGACTCCTACTAAATTTAGATTGGAATTAAAAAAAAAAGCAAGTTTAAATGTCCCAATTCACAAAAAGTTATAATTAATGACTTCTCTACTGTAAGAATAAAGACCAATGCATGCAGTGCCTCACGTAACCGTAAAACGAACACGTTAAGTGACCGTGAAGAAGCATGCTTTTCATGTGCATGGAATGTATAAAATACATTTGCATATTAATACAGAGGAGTCGGAGTCGGGGAGTCGGAGTCGGAGTCGGAAGTACAAAAAACTGAGGAGTCGGAGTCGGAACATTTATCTACCGACTCCACAGCCCTGAGTGCAGTGACTTGAAGCGTTCTATGTTTGCACCAAACATTTTTATCATCCATCCATCCATTCATCCAGTGCCACCAACATAGACTTATTCTTTTTGACTGTATGGACAAATGGCTATTATCTTGACTTATCTTTATATCAGGGGTGTCAAACTGCCAGCCCGTGGGCCGGTTGCATCATGCGGAGGCCATGCCTACCCCAGCTCTGGCAATGCGAAAAAAAGTTGCGATACGTCATGTGACGTGTCACGTGACACAGCGAGTTTGACACCCGTGCTTTATATGTAATATCTCTTTGCTAATCAAATGCAAATTTATGTATTTCATTTGCATCCTAAAAGCTCTAAGCTGCTAAAAATTTAATCATAAGATAAAAGCCTCCATAACCAAAAAAGAAAATAATTCAAACATACATCAAAATTTATTTATTTATTTATTTATAATTTAATTTATACCCCGCCCTTCTCCTCATGGGACTCAGGGCGGCTAACAGCCTCATAAAAACTACAATACAAATACAATAATTAAAAGCCGAATTAAAAAGAAATATTTAAACAGGCCGATCAATTAAAATTATCCTTAAAAATCCCCTGAAACTTTAAAATCATTAAAAATTANTAATAATAATAATAATAATAATAATAATAATAATAATAATAATAATAATAATAATAATAATAATAATAATAATAATAATAATAGTAAAGTTGGAAGGGACCTTGAAGGTCATCTAGTCCAACCCCCTGCTCAGGCAGGAAACCCTATACCATTTCGGACAAATGGCTGTCCATTCTCTTCTTAAAAACTTCCAGTGTTGGAGCATTCACCGCTTCTGGAGGCAGGTTGTTCCACTGGTTAATTGTTCTCACTGTCAGGAAGTTTCTCCTTAGTTCTAGGTTGCTTCTCTCCTTGATCAGTTTCCACCCGTTGCTTCTTGTCCTGCCTCCAGGCGCTTTGGAAAATAGCTTGACTCCCTCTTCTTTGTGGCAGCCCCTGAGATATTGGAACACTGCTATCATGTCCCCCCTCGTCCTTCTCTTCATTAAACTAGACATACCCAATTCCTGCAGCCGTTCCTTATATGCTTTAGCCTCCAGTCCCCTGATCATCTTTGTTGCTCTTCCAGTTGGGGTAGACAGCTGTACATCTGGAAGGCGAAGAATTGGTGCAGGATGTTTTACAGTGGCTAAGGCTTGGTTCACACGTATTAAACCAATATTAAAATATTTCGGTTTGCATTTTTCTTGAAGTATATTACAATATGTTGAATTTAATATTTCCAAATGTAAAGGTGAATTTTCACATAGCCTTAACAAAGTAGCTAGATTTTCCATTTAATGCTTGGGGTAAGGTTAATGTTATTAAAAGGAATATTACATCAAGATTTTATATTTCATATTTCTTAACTGTCCCTCTCCCTTGGCTATCTGCTTGTCTGACTCTGTCTGTCTGTGTCAGTCACTCTCAACCCAATCCACCTCTCAGAGTTGTTGTTTTGAGGAAAATAAGAGGCTTGCGTGCATTCATGTTAGAAGCACTGAGGCCCTTCAGGTTGAAAGGATTAGCTGTTGACATCGCCTATGCCCAGGCAATGCGCTGTTGGGGGTTTCTTTCATATCTCAATGTGCCCACCAAAGTGGTACCTATTTACTAGCAATTACTCGCTTTCGAACTGCTAGGTTGGCAGAAGCTGGAGAGAATGATAGGAGTTTGCCCTGTCACACAGCAGCACTGAGGTCTTGAACGTGAGCCACACAACGCTCCTTAATAGGAGGTAGAAGGAGTGTTGCGTATTTTCAGTGCCTTGATTGACTTGTGGAGTGATAAAGGTGGGATAAAAATCGGAGAAAGAGGGAAGGAAGGAAGGAAAGAAGGAAGAAAGGAAGGAAAAGACAAATTCCAGTGTTAATTCCTATTAGATGTTTCACACAGATGAGTTAACAAAGAGATTTATATGGCAGGCTAAAGCCCCTACAACAGTGATGGCGAACCTTTTAAAGACCGAGTGCCCAACTGCAACCCAAAACCCACTTATGCATTGTCGGGTGCGTGTGGCCCATTAGGTGGGTGTGGCCCATTGGGTGGGTGTGGCCCATTGGGTGGGCATGGCTGCGGTGGTAACAGCAGACTGGGTGGGACTAAAAAGTTCAATCAATCAATTCCAACTTTGCAAGATCTTTTTTTTCCCCCACGAGAAGTTGAAATTGACTGATTGATTGAACCTTTTTTTTTTGTACACGGCGGCGGAGGTCTAAAGCGAAAAGGTTTTATAAAACCCAGCTGAAGGCCTAGGACTGGGGCGACGGCGTGCGTGCCCACAGAGAGGGCTCCGAGTGCCGCCTCTGGCACCCGTGCCATAGGTTCGTCACCACTGCCCTACAAATATCTCTGGTTAAATTGTGACTTCCTTACGAGGGTTTGATTTTATTTATCAAATTTTGACACCAAACATCTCTGGGCTGTGCACAGATTTCCAAAGCTGCTTCAATTTTTCTGACGTCAAGCCAAGACAATATTGGCTTGTTTTGTTCCTTACATTCTTTGATTTTTGTTCTTTCATGTTCTGTAAATTATTCGCAGCTGATCTTTATGTTTTTATTTTGGCTTCCAATCTGATCTACGACTTTAGGATTGGATATGAAGGTTGTTTAACCTAAAAGATTTTCATCTTATATCATTGGACTATTTTCTGTTACAGTTACTTTCCTGTTTGGACTCACTTGAAGAGCAAGCATGTAATACTTTTGAAATCTGGGTAGGTTTTAGGGTCCAGGTATACTAAACTGGGATCTTTATTTCCTCCTTTGAAAACTGCTAGATTATTTGGTTATTAAATAGTGAGCAGTTATATTTTCATCCAAAATCAGATTAAAAATTGATGCAGTGGTATAGCATAAATTTGAAAATAGTGCAGAAGTAATTATATTGGAACCCCTGTGTTAAAGAAGAGATTAATACTTTATTTCAGTTGATTTTTAACAGTTGTTATAAAGATGTTGAGAAATTGCCTTTTGAGCTTGACCTCCCTTCATTATATGCTTGGCAACACATACAAGTGAAACGTGTATTAATTGAACAGTATGGCTTGCAATTCTCATTTCTTAGAGATCCTGTGCTTACATGGAAGCAAAAATGGAAGCTTATGCTTTTTTTTGCACTGTCATTTAAAATAACTTATAGAATGAAAAAAGGCATGCATGTTGTCACCAAAGTCAAACATGCTAATACTATAGGAAGTTCTTGACTTACAACCAGTTCATTTAGTGACCGTTCAAAGTTACAACAGCACTGAAAAAAGTGACTTATGAGCATTTTTCATACTTATGACCATTGCAGCATCTCCATGGTCAGGTGATGAAAATTCAGCTGTTTGGCAACTGACTCATATTTATGACAGTTGCAGTGTCCTAGGGTCATGTGATCACTTTTTGCAACCTTCTGACAAGCAAAGTCAATGGGGAAGCCACATTCACATAACATCCATGTTACTAACTTAACAACTGCTGTGATTCACTTAACAATTGTGGCAAGACAGGTCATAAAATAAAATGGGGCAAAACTCATTTAACAAATGTCTAGCTTAGCATCAGAACTTTTGGGCTGAATTGTGGTCGTAAGTCGAGGACTATCTGTATTTTTTATGAGGTTGTAATAACAGAATTTTGCAAGTCTGAATGCATGTCTCCCCTCCCTCTGTCCCTTTATCTTTGTGAGAACTAAAAAGGGTCTTGTCTAAAACACTTACTTAGATTGCAGATCTGGCATGGACTTAACTTTTCTTTTACCTGACTCTTGTCTTGGTTGAAGTTATTCCTTCTGCCTATTGCATTGATAAACTCCTCCCCAAAAGCAGAACAAGACCTGTTATTGTCATTCAAGTTATTTAAGGTATAAATAAGATTTCTGAGCTCTGTCTCAAAATCCTGATAGAAAAGTTAGTTTCTCCAAACAATGAATAGTTGAGCAGTTGTATCATTTACTTTAGAATGAAACAAACAAAGAGATGTAACTGAAAAAGGATTTTTTTCCCTGAGATTATTATAGCATATTTAAATATGATGAATGGTGAAACTAATACTTAATTTTCTTTTTCTTTTTACTAATATTTCTATTCCACTATGGTGGAAGGTAATACCTACAATTAATAATAAAGTTCAGGAGAGTATTGTGATGTGGTCAGTTGCTTCAGTTGAAATGCTTTATTCAGTATAGGTTAAATATAAGATGCATGATGATGATATAATATAATGTTGGAAGGGACCTTGGAAGTCATCTAGTCCAACCCCCTGCTCAGGCAGGAAACCCTATACCATTTCAGACAAATGGCTGTCCAATCTCTTCTTTAAAACTTCCAGTGTTGGAGCATTCACAACTTCTGGAGGCCGGTTGTTCCACTGATTAATTGTTCTAACTGTCAGGAAATTTCTCCTTAGTTCTAGGTTGCTTCTCTCTTTGATTAGTTTCCAAGATCAGGGAACATTTTTATTAATTTTATGTTGCTAGTACTATATTTAAAGGGTTTATTAAAATACTAAAAACAAGGTTAACATAAAGGTCACTAAATTTATGTTCAATGCCTCAGAAAAATGTGCATTACAAAACTTGCATTTATGCAGTTTGTGAAGAATCAAGCACTAAACAGCTTTCTGAGTAGTCTAAAAGTAATAAATGTTATTTTAATGGACATACCTGATACAGTGTTTTGCTTTGTGGTTCATAGGGCACTGACAACATAGCAACAGCATGGATTCCAAATGTTGCAGTCAGTCTGCTCGATGGTCCAAGTCAGCTGTTTATACACTGCTCCTAGGAGGTACCTTTGTTACACTGGGTTCAAGTCGTATTCTTTTGATGAAATACTCTGCCAATGAAGGTATGTTGGAATATTTATTTCTGTATAGATACTACCAGAATTTGTTGGCATGAAGTTAAAATAATTAGGTTTTGTAGAGCCTTGATTGCTTTTCAGAATTGCTTTTCAATATGAGTTTGGTTCCCAGAGCCGTTTTAGAAAAGAATACATCTTTCATATAGTCAGAAACTCTTTTGTGACATCAAATACAGCACTTTCTGTTAACGATCTGGTCAAAAGTGAAAAAGCATACTACACAGTTAGGATCAGAACACTAATTTATAGTACAAAGAAGCCCCAACTTTGAATCTCACTCCCTGAAACCCCTTATTTACCAATCAATCAGAATAGAGCTGGAAGGGACCTTGGAGCCTTCTAGTCCAACCCCCTGCTCAAGTGGGAGACCCTATACCATTTAAGACAGGTGGCTATCTAATCTTTTCTTAAAAACCTCCAGTGATGAAGCACCCACAACTTCTAAAGGTAAACTGTTCTACTGGTTAAGTGTCCTCACTGTTAGGAAGTTTCTTCTAACAGAAATATTAAAATATGTTTAATATTAAATATTAAAAATATCAACTATTTTTCAAAAGAAGAAAATATATTTTAATTCTTTTGTATGAAAAATTATTATCTGGAAATAGAAGTGGAGGTTTTCTCAAATACATCTTGTTGAATGTACATTTCTGCATTGGCTGCCTGTTGTAGTATTTTTACTTTATTTAAAGTCAATGTATGCAGTATTCATGTGATTTCTCTAAATATTTTTCAGATAATAAGTATGATTATCTTCCTGCAACTGTGAATGTGTGCTCAGAATTAGTTAAGCTTGTACTTTGTTTGATAATGGCTCTCTGGGTAATCAGAAGAGGTAAGCCGTTAGAGCTAAATTGTTATGATATTTAGGAATGGTTATATCTTCTCTTGTTGCTTAGTATGTGTTAATGTACAGGTGATCCTCATTGAATGAGTACGTACAACCAGTCGACAAGGTTCCTGCCATTACAACGTTCTCACAGTCATGTGATTGCAATCTGGACAGTTGACGACTGGCTCACAATTACCATATTGCAATCTTCACTGCTAGCTTCCAACAAGCAGGAAGTTAGTAGGAATTTGCAAATGGCAACCATATGAAATTGCATTTAATGATGGTGGGATTTGCTTAATGACAGCAGCTGGAAGTGCTGTTGCTAAATGGCACAGTCACATGATGTTACGCTTATGACTCCATCATTTAATGATGGAAAGTCCAGTCCCAAATACCATAGTTAACTGAGGACTATATGTCATATACTCATATTTCAGTCATATCATGTGTCTTTAGTCATGTGCCTTTAAGTCACATTATGTGTCTTTCAGTCATATTATGTGTCTTTACATCAACAGAGATCCCATACCATTGTTAGTGTTATTGTACTGAAAATTGAAATCAGGCAAATACTTCTCTTGAACTTCAAAAAAAAATCTGTAAAGTCTGAGACATCTTAGCAATTAACTGTAATTATTGTAATATTTGTCTTTATCTCCTCGTCTATAGAAAAGAGTTCTTGCAGGATTTAAAAATGATTTATATTTTGCAAAACTGCACAAATTCAGAGATTTGGCTATATAAAAAGTAGTAACTATCTTCTATACCAGTGATGGCGAACCTTTTAGAGACCGAGTGCCCAAAAACTGGCCCCGCCCCACTCCATTCCCCCACCCCGCCTGCCCACAGGACCACTCACCGCCTCCAGGGCCCACCGCAGATTGCCCAGGCATCCAAGCAGCGCTATGGCGGCCACACCCTCTGCCCACGCCCTGCAGCATCAACTGCATGATGGGGTGTGAGGGCAGAGTCTTGTCTATGCTGCCTGGCTGCCATGTCCTTAGCTGCGCTGCTTCATGTGGGTCACGCTCGAGGGCGAGTCTCCTTCAGGGGGGCTGCTGGAGAGGAGGGGGTCGCGGGGGGAGGCGAGGCTGGGGCAACGACCCGTGTGCCCACAGAGAGGGCTCTGAGTGCTGCCTCTGGCACCCGTGGCATAGGTTCGCCACCACTGCCCTACAATATCTCTGGTTAAATTGTGATTTCCTTACGAGGGTTTGATTTTATTTATCATTGAGCTCATTGTGTTGGGGGAATTCAGTGATATCGATCAATAAATTTAGCAAGGTAATGAAATAAAAATTTAAAAAGACCTCAGCATTACAACTCCATCCTTCGGGAGAAGGGCGGGATACAAATTGGAATAATAATAATAATAATAATAATAATAATAATAATAATAATAATAATAATCTATATTTGAAGGATAAAATACATGTAATTTCTAGGAAGGATATTTTCTTGGAGGAGGCTGGAAATCAACAAAAAATAGAAGTGGGGGGGGGTAAAATATAACATGAATTATCCCTGGAAAAATGAAATGAAGAATAGGAACAATAATTAAGTTGGAGAAATTAAAAAGGATATTTTGAATATTGTATTGTATTTTATTATAACAGAATCACATTAATGAATTTACTTAACAGAAGTAATATAAATCCCAAATTCTGCAGATGGTTGAGATAACCTTTATAGAATTTCAAATACTAAATTACATTGTTGCTTAAAAATGTCTGGTATAGGTATGTGAATATAAATTTATTTTGGTGCTTAATGTATTTATTCATAGTTGTTGATTTTTAAAGTATTATATAAAATATTAAGATAATTAAATATTCAAATTATCAAGAAAAATAATTTAAAGAATTTTTTAAAAAGGTAATTGGAATAGAGAGTGTTTAAAACAGCCTTCCATTTTACCACACAGGATGATTTAACAAACAAATTATATGTAAATATGTTTAATTTACAGAGAAAAAAGAAAATGATAGAGATCAGAGATCAAAATTTCAATTTGAATATCATTCAAAATCTTTAAGAAAGCCTGGTAAAGTTTCATATCTGTATTTAATAAGGAAGCTTCCAATTATGGATTTTTTAAGGAGTCTGTCTTTAGTGATATGTTCTTTTTGAAATCAATAATCATATGTGCTGAGGACAGTGTAGATATGTATTGATAATTAAATGCATTGAATAATTTTTCTTGTTACTTCTTTTTCTTTTTTAGGAGGATATTCCCATAGTGGATTTGGCTGCAGCTCTTGGAGGCAATTGTATAGCTACATAAAGTGGTCAATTCCAGCTTTTCTTTATTTTTTAGATAATTTGATTGTCTTCTATGTGTTGTCCTATCTTGAACCAGTAAGTATCACTTCAGAAATGTAGAATGGTCTCTATATGTTCTAATGAAAAGAGAATATATTTTTATCATCTTAAGTGCTTATATCAAATTTCAGTCATTTTCGGAGATTATAGATAAGATTGCTTCCTCCCTGAATAGTATTTCAGTACTTGAGTTGATATTTTAGAGATGTTATGTTTGGTATGTGCTATAATATAAGCAGAACACAAATTTAATTGGCCAAATGACTGTATTCAATTCTTATGTTTTGTCATTTATGTTTCATAAATCTTTCAGACAAGAACTCTGTATCGTAAAGGGTGTTTTCATTGTTTGAACATAAGTTTGCGTAAGAAGCATAACTATAAGTAAAGACAAGGAAATTAAAGTAAACTTTTTAATTAGAGCCAGGGTATAAAAACCTTAGCTTACCAGAATCCATTGAACATTGGTTTAGAATGAGAACAGGTAGTCCTTGGGTTATGATCATTAGGACTGGAATTTCCATTGCTAAGTGAAGTGATTGTTAGATTAACCATCACATGACTGCATTGTTTAGTGATGGAAGTTCCAGTAGACCTGGTTGCAGTTGTTAGGCCAGGACTGTGCCATTGTTAGGCCAGGATCTCATGCTTTTCCTGCCCTACCTCAAATCGGAATCAATAATTTGGGGAATAAGTGTTAAGGCTTTGTTTTTCTGCTTGTTTCCGTGAAATGTAGGAATGGTTGCTTTCAGGACTTTTCTAGAAAGCCAATTCATTTTTTTAACAAGTGCTATTTAGCTCAATAAAATTTGGTTCCACAACCAACACATTTTAAGGTGGTTGTACTCTAATACAGGGCTTTTCAACCAATGGTACGGGTACCACCTATGGTACATTGGCACCTGGCAGGTGGTACGCAACCATCCTAGAAAAGTGGTAGCAGGGGAGGGGAATGAGCTGAACCGGTGGCAGCACCGCACAAGCCTGAGCGAGAGACGGCTGGAGCTGCAGGGATGTCAGGGCTCAGTGGAAGCACCAGGATTAGCGCCAGGCTCCAGCTGGAGCTCGGCACTGATCCTGGTGCTTCTGCTGAGCCCAGAAGCGCCGATCAGCTGGAATGCTGCAGCATCTCCAGGGTCTTGTGATTTACATTCAGATGCTTGGCAACTGATTCATATTTATGACGGTCACAGTGTCCCAGGGTCATGTGAAGTGACCAAAACTTGCTGCAACCACCAAGTAGATGGGGGGAATAAAAACCAAACACCCCCCCCACCCCCACTGCCAATCCTCAACAGAAATGCTCACAACAATGAAAACCTCGGACAGGAGGAAGAGCGCGTCCGGGTGGGCAGGCAGGTATCTTGCTCGGCTGTGGCTTGGGGGGCACTTTTTTCAGTGCCATTGTAACTTCGAACAGTCACTAAGTGAACTGTTGTAAATCGAGGACTACCTGTACTTTATCACTTTTTTCCTTTTTTTTTGGTCAATTTTTTGACACCTTGCTAGGCGACTGGTGGTACTCGGATATTGCCATATCCTAAAAGTGGTACAATGGGTGAAAAGGTTGAAAAGCCTTGCTCTAATAGGTATCCTATTTCTAGGCTGCATTTGATTTGTAACATAATATCTTTTCTTCTTCTAGGCCATAGCTGTTCTGTTCTCAAATTTTGTTATTATAACAACAGCTCTTCTGTTCAGAATAGTGCTGAAGTGAGTAATTATGGAAACATGTTATCTTTTATCATTTCTTTGTTTCCTCAAAGTTCTCTTCTGAAGCAATTTTAAACAAGGCTCTAAAGGTAATGAAAATTAAAAGCACATCCAAAATGATTATAATATTACTACTATTGTCATTTATTTGATAATGAATACATAGCTATTGAATTTGGTATACTTTCTATGTTTTTTTTTTGTTAATGACTCAGAAGGCAGTCCTAAATATATGTTAATCTTATCAAACTGGGTCATACTTGTACTTGCTCCCCCCCAATGGTTGTTTTCAAAGTCAGACATAATCTACTAATATTTACTTTCATAGTGTAGGATATTGTTAAAAGAACAGTAGCTGTCCAGAGTTGTCTGGAACATGGGCACAGCTTCAGTAGATACAAAATAATTCAGTGTGCAGAGTGAATCATCCTGTTAGGTATGAGAGGTATTGTAAGCATTTGAATTTCAGCATTATTGTCCAAAGAATTTTTCCTGGTATGATACTAGGACAGAAGTCACACTGCTGCCTTACTAAAGTAGTTAACTCTTTTTTACACCCCTTACCTATTATTTGCGCTTCTTTGAATCAACTTACTTTATTTTTTCTTCTCCATGCAGGCGACAGGTCTCCTGGGTGCAATGGGCTTCTTTGCTGATTCTGTTCCTATCGATTGTAGCTCTGACTGCAGGGACAGGAAGCAATAAGCATAGCTTGGCTGTGCATGGATTTCATCATGACATTTTTCTCAGCCATTCAAACAGTTGCCTGCAGTATACCAAGTCAGAAGAAGAATGTTGGGGGAAAGAGAACTGCACTCTTAGATGGTCCTTTCCTGGCTTTAGCTGGAATGTCACAACTACTGCAGGACCCATGAAAACAGTTCGTCTTGGACTGGGACATCTGCTCATACTAGTACAATGTTTTATTTCAGCCTTAGCCAACATCTACAATGAAAAAATACTGAAAGAAGGAGGCCAATTCAGTGAAAACATCTTTGTGCAGAATACCAAACTGTACCTCTTTGGAGCTATGTTCAATGCACTGATGCTAAGCCTGCGCCCTGAAAACAGGCGCCAGATAGAGTATTGTGGTTTTTTCTATGGTCACAACGTATTCTCGGTGGCCCTTATTTTTGTCACTGCCTTCCTTGGGCTCTCCGTGGCCTTCATTCTGAAGTTCCGAGACAACATGTTTCATGTTTTGACTGCACAAGTTACAACTGTGATCATCACCACAGTGTCAGTTTTTGTATTTGACTTTAAGCCTTCCATGGAGTTCTTCTTGGAAGCACCTGTAGTTCTTTTGTCTATATTTATCTATCACTCCAGCAGCCCTCGTTGTACCGAACACACTGTTCAGTGGGAGAGGGGCAAACATAATGGAGGTGCATGGGAGCGCTCTAGTGGGGTAAGGTTTGAAAGGTTACCTTTCTAGATATTCTTTGGGCCAATTGATTTCAGTGCACACCTCTGATTGTGATGTGAATATCAATGTTTGCCATCATTGTCAAAATAGCATTATGCTGCTAGAAGGGAGTCCTTGGTTATGACTGCCTGTCGAGTGACCGCTCAAACTTATAACAATGCTGAACAAAATAGTTTGACTATTTTTGAACTTAACAATGGTCGCAGCGCCCCAACTGTCATATAAACATGATTCTAGCATTTGACAACTGGGGCACTTTTACAGTGGTTGCAGAGTCCTGTAGTCACACAATTGCCATTTGCGACCTTCACAGCTGGCTTTCAACAAGCAAAGCCAATGAAGAAGCTGGCAATAACTCTCAAGTTGAGTTTACACGACATCACACTTAATGGCTGCAGGTGATTCATTCAATGACTGCAGTGGAGCTGATGTAAATTGGCTGTGGTCATGTGATGTTTCACTTAATAACTGTGTCACTTAGCAATGGACTAGCCGGACCCATCTGTAGTGATTAAGTGAGGATTACCTATAAATGTGGGCTTCTGTTTTCCTTATAATTGTTTGCTTAACCGAGTGTGTCCAAATGATATACTAACATTTACAATTTGTTATGAATGCATCCAGTTAAGTTAGTTATGGCCCTGTTGGAGAAATCTATACATATAACTGGACACACTTAACAACAAACTATAAAGGAAAGTCATGCTATGTTGAAACATGTTGTTGGGCAGTCCTGGTGAAGCCATTCCAGCGCTCTCAGAATGTAGTAGAAAATGCCTCTGTTGTGGGAGGGGGAGGACAGCAGAGAAGTACTTCTGTGTGCTGACCCACAAGGAGCTATTGCTCTTTGTAATAAAGGATGTGGTTCATTCAGAAAACTAGAATGGTAGTTGTGCCCTTGCTGGAAGCTGCTTAGTCTTATGTGGTATCCCACTATGAGCCATTTTTTTCCTTTGCATTTCCGAAATATATTTGTGTTCCCTAATCACATCACACTATATTTGGGATGTGCAGCTCTCTAGATTCCAGAAATATTTGACATCATAAATCAAAAAGAGCATTTTGAGACATTCCATTTTGTTTCAGGTTTTCAACTTAGAATCCTAGTGTCCCAAGAAGTTTACAATAGTATAGTGTGGTTTTTTTGGGGACATCTTAAAAGAATAGTTTGTATTTTTCAGATACATTCCGTATGAACATTAAAGTGTATTTTTAGAATAGCTTTGAATGTATAAAATTCTTTTTAAAAAATGCATTTGTGGCTATTTGCTTAGCTTTCTATTGAATTAAAGTGATTTTTTTTGAAGATTGAACACCAGAGGGCACAATTGACAAACGAGGTGCACTTACAATGTGTTCCTGGGTATGCTTCAAGCATCATTTGAATAAATATGTAGATTGTATGCAAAAGGTAATATATTAATGTGTATGTATCTGTGAAAGTAAATACATATAATTTTCATGTGAATTTGTAACTACATTAAGCCTAAAAAAAAAAAGCAACACACTTTTTACTAACTTTTTTAGGGCTTCTCTTGAAAAGATACAGTACAGAATTGGACTTATTTGGTTCCCTTTTTTCCAAATTTTGCCAGGTGCCATTGCAAAAATTATGTAATACAGATTTAATAAATGTATTTAACGAACATTTGACAAGGTCAAATTCCTACTCTTTCTACATGGGCAAATATTTTGCATGGCATATAAAATACATAACAATTGTTATGAAAGAGGAATAGGCAGTCTTGACAATGCATCTCAAAGTGACTGATTAGGAAGGATTTAATATTGTGCAGATCGTATATATTGTAGGATCTGGCCTCAGTGTCCACTAAATTGTATTTGTTAGTTATGGAATGGTTGTATGACAAGGATATACTGTAAAAATTGCAGCCCATGGGTCTTGTATGGCTTACCAACAACTTTTTTGAAAGCCGCAGATCCTATACTAGAATTGGCAGAACTATCTAGGGGTAATTTGGAGGGAGAAAGCATCCATTTCATACTTAAGAACTCTCCCAGTTAGGATCCTGGCTCTGTCCACTTTGGGATTGTTATCTTCAGCTTGTTGTATAAAGCATGGTAGAGCTTCTGGTCAATAAAAGTTATAGCTTCTATCTCTGTGATATAATTAACAAAGGTAACTTAAATTGTAATCCAGTTTCAATGAAAGAAACACTATTATAGGACAAGGACTAGTGAAGTTCTACTACCGCAATTGCTATATAGCCAATACCAAAAGTAGCTTTACTTCAAATTATGGTAAACATTAGACAAATGACATAATCTATTCATTTTATGAACTTGTTTATTAATTTTTCACTATCTTCCCTTTATTTTCTATAGGATGGAGAAGAACTTGAGAGACTCACCAAACCAGGCAGTGATCATGATTCAGATGAGGAGGCCTTATAGCAAATGGTGGTCACAACTAAAATTTGGGGGAGATCGCCTGGACATTCATGCCAAGTAGATAATGGGAGGAGGGCTTTGCAAATTCACAAAATATCTCCTATGAGTAAGATAATCAGGCATATTTCTGTTCCAACTCTAGTTGTAAGGCTCTTTCCCAGCATAGCATGTGAGGAGAGGAAACTTTTTCACAGTGGAAATGGTGGAAATCTCTTAAATGTTTTCACTAAAGTGGGATATTTTTTTTAAAGTCAAGTTCTGCTAGATGATATTTTAACTACTAACCAAACAGGATATTAAGGTGGGATTAGAAAAATCAGTGAAGGTTGTAATTTCTCCTAGTCCTCATGACTATGCACTACTAATGGTGTTGAAAACCATACGCCTTTGAGTATTAAATGCGATTAGAATTTTGAGATCTAGATATTTTTGCCAAATGGCAGGAGGGTTTGCCTATTTACAAATTACTATTCACATAATCAGTCATAAAGCACATTTACTAGAATGCTATCAATATATTAATTGCTGGGAATTATTGAGGGGCAATCACTGTCCTTTTCTTCTAGTAGACTTCCCATAGGCAACTAGTTGGTCATTGTTGAAAATAAGATACTGGAGTAAATTGAGTTTTTATGTGATCCAGCAGAACTGCTCATGTTTCTGTGTATTTAATCTTCTAAAATGAAGATTTATTTTTGCAGCAATTGGAATTCAGAAGATTTGGATGCAGAAGGAAAGCATCATTTTGAACCATGTATTTTGAGACAGTTGATTTTTTTTCACCTTAAAATAAAGAGACTGGAGTGCTAATGCTAACCAAGATATCTCAGTTCAAAGATGATGTGAGAGAAGAATTTATTGATGGAATTATGAAAGCTATCACTTTATGGAAATCCAGAAGCACAGTCCTCAAAATATTATTGTATACCACAAATACAGAGATTACATGGTAACATTTTTTTATGTGTAAGATGTGCTTTATCCTTTAAGCTTTGGAAAATATTGTTGCCATCATGTGTTGTATGCCTGGAGTATCATATAAACCATTTATTTTTATATGACTATCCCTGTGATACCCAGTGTTAAAATCTGCGTATGCTTGAGCCTCATAATTACAGTAATTAGGATATCATTTGAATATGAAAACCAATATTTGAGCATTTCTTCTGAATGCCTTTATCATCACAAATCAGATGAGTTATCCCGCTGATGGATCCCTTAAATGAATAGGAAATTAATAACATGGCTTTCTAGCCATTTTGCATATTTCCATACAATTTGGCTACTATTTTTAGTTTTGCTGCATGAAAATAGATGAATTATTTATTTAAGCATAAAATTTAAGATTACTTCTTTCAAAATATACCAACAGGATCATCCTTCCAGGATAATGCAAAACGGGATCCAGAAAGTTATGGTATTCCAAATATTTGTTCATTCTTAGCTGGTGTAGCTAAAGCAGGGGTGTCAAACTGCTGGCCCGTGGGCCAGTTGCATCATATGGAGGCCGTGCCCACCCCACTTCCGGCAATATGTTGTGACGCGTCACGTGACGTGGCAAGTTTGACACCTATGAGCTAAAGGAATGAATTGCACTCTTAACATCTGGGGTTGAGTGATAAAGGTTTCTACCCCTAGTATAAACCATGTAATACTGGATAACGCTGCACTTAACCTTTTACATGCCATATGATCATGTTCACAAGCTATGCGTTTCAAGTGAATTGTTACTTTCCCTGGTGAATAATTGATGTGCAACTATCTCAGATTGGTGCTATACAGATATTCCATCTTTTCTGACTAATTTATCCAGCGACTATCCTTGATGGTGAATTGCAATCCAACAATATCTGGAAGTCAAATGTTTGAAGAAGAATCTTTTAAGGCATGTCAGCCAGGAAAATTTATAATCCAGTATTTCTAATCTTTAATAGAAATTTTAAATATAGGCCATCTTTCATTTCAGGAAAATTTGTAATCCAGTATTTCTAATCTTTAATAGAAATTTTAAATATAGGCCATCTTTCATATCTAGGTTATGTACTTTAAGGAATGTTAATCCCTTAAAGAAATGTTACCTACCCTATAAATATTTCCTTAGCTTTCAGCTTGGAACCAGCAAATTGGAGTGCTTCCCAATCCTTGGGTTGTCTTGGTTCAGTCTTTTGTACACATTAATGTTTGTGTTAAATTCCATAAAAGACAAAAGAAATACAGGCATAAAATGCAGTGCAACATAAGAGTTTGTGCTGACGTATATTTAAAGCTGTAACAATGCATGCAAATTTTTCTGTGGATATGATAAAGAAGTATATGTTTTTCTAGCACTGGTGATTCAGTTTTGGAATGGAAATGTATAAAGAAAATAGTACGATTCAAGACATTTAGCAACTGTGACATAGAAATTTCTAAATTATATTGTGTAAAATAATGCTTAAATTATGATGTGAAGTTTCAGTTCAGTTTTATACTTCAAGTTTAAGATTCATTTGTAAAAATGCCTGCAGGGGCAAGAGTTAATATTGCAAAATTATTGGAAGAGGAATGTATGAAAATGCTAGGCAAATATTCCAATCAGGGTTATTGTGTTGATAGAAGGTGGTTCTCTTATTTGCTTATATAAGTTAATTTATATTTTTCTGTAATGTTGCTACCACACTGGTACCTGGTATAATGAAGCATCCTTTTGACCCTGCTTTATTTCATGTTTGTAGCATTTATTCAGAAATACTGTTTGAAGTAAGGATTTCTTTTACCATCTTCGTTGACGCAAGTATCCATTGTGCTTTTATTTTTTGGAAGCCTTGATAGTTTCTGAAGAAGTAGTTCTAACATAACAGAATGCATATTCTTTAACAGCAGTTGTTTAAATACAGTTGCAAGATGAACTTTGCCTAACTTGTGCCTGGAATAAATTAAAATTTGGGAGGGGGAGTTGAGTTTCAATTGTTTTCCAGACCAGAAAAAGCTAGGTAAATGGATGTTGGTTGTATGCATACCAATAGAATTAGAAACATAAAAATTAATATTTTAGTGACCAATATGGACTTTTCAGAACAGTTAGAAAACCAATATTCAAATACATATTTTTAAAAGTTGGTAATCACACATAATTATGCTTTCAGTAATGAACAAATTAAGAGTCTTTTAAGGTACATCAAACTGTTGCCCAAACTAGGTATGTTCAAGACCTTTGATACCCTAGAAGTAGCTGATTAAGCATTCCTGACCTAATATATATACGGTATATAAGTTTTTTATTTTGTTTTTGCAAGGGCCTACATGGCTTTGGATTGAATATGGAGTACTTTAATAATTTTCCTATACTGGAAAAGGTTAAATATCCATCTGTTAGCACGTCTTCTTCAAAAGATTGTCCTTTTGCATTCATGTGGCCTGGCAGACTCATATAGGGAACATATATTTGTCCACTAAATATGTGTTTTGTCTGTGTTTGAGAAAGAAATATGCTTTGTTTGGCTTATGTGGAATTTAACAAGAAATTTCTTAAAAGAAAATTCTGAAAGTTTTTTTCATTAGTGGTATGTAGCTTTTTTTCAAATATCTAATAACGAAACAAAAATAAATAAAAACCAAGACTGTCAAATTTAAAGCTAATGTTGAACAACATTGTTTTCAGTTGTGTCTTTTGATTGGTTTGGTCTTACTTATTTTAACATTACAGTTATTCCTAACATGATGTTTTCAGGAAGTTGTGAAATCACTCATTTTAGATTACATTGCACTTAAAGATATAAAACACATTTCTGGAAAAAATCCTCACAAAACATTTGATAAATCTCCCTAGCATGTTTTGCAAGTTAACTTTAATCAAGTTTAGTGAAATTTTGAGATCACATATGGATTACATCCTGTCTTACAGATTATATATGAACATCAATTAAAACCCATCTCACTATTTAGGTTTAGCTCAATATGCCTTCTTTGGCAATTTACACAAATGTTCTCTGGTGATCCATTCAGATTGGTATTGGTAATGGTGGTGGTGATGTTTGTGAAGCTGCTTTTGAGGTTTCCTCAAAAGTATAGGATACTATAGATTGAGAATCTCTTGAATTCCAAAACCAGAGAAATTATTTCCTTTTCTTCTTTTCTGCATAGGAATTGGGACAGTATTGTTGTTTTACTGCTGGCTTTTAGGCCTCATGTAAGTTGCAGCAATTGCTATGATATATTAAGAAAAGGTTTTTCTGACATGCTAAGATTTTTATCTAATTAAGAGTATATTGTACCTGTATAGAGGAATGTTATACTTGTTTCCATCTGCAGTTTGAATTGATACATACAAAGTATAGATATTTCTATCACGCCTTTATTATTTTTACAAATAACTCAAGGCGGCAAACATATCTAACACAACTTCCTCCTCCTATTTTCCATATAAGAACAACCCTATGAGATGGGTTGGGCTGAGTGACTGGCCCAAAGATGTTAGACAAAATAAAGAGGGGTTATTGCATTAAGGTTCTGCCCTGTGGCTTTGCGTAATATATTGCTGGCTAAAAAGCTGAAATAGTTCGATCCTGATGGGCTCAGGGTTGAACTCAGCATTCCATCCTTCTGAGGTTGGTAAAATGAGGACCCAGATTTTGTAAAGTGCTTAGAGAGTGCTGGAAAAGCATTATGAAGCGGTATATACGGTAAGTCTAAGTGCTGCTGCTATTGCTAAAGCTGAAATCTTTGTTCTCTTGTATTTTCACTCAAAATCAGACTATTCTTAAATTGTTAGTTCTAGAAACTCTTCAGATTGGTAATTGACAGAATCATATAGAGATCGCATACTATGAACAAAGTTATTTTAGTCAAAGCATTTTTAAAACACCTCTAGAAATCATTTTCTTAACTATCATAAACCCTCCTAAAAAACTGCAGTGTGAAGATTGTATTCTGCAACACAATTCACTATTCTTCCTCTTCAATAAAGCTTCACAGCTCTCAAATATATATTTCCTGAGGGAGTGGGGATGCAGTTTGACAAAAACTGAAGTCCATTGTATATGTTATATCCTATCCACCATACAATAATCACCATTAGGAAAGAGTTTCTTATTCTATATACACACAACACAAGGAAATACCTCAAGTTAGAAGAGCTCTAAAATATAAAGGAGTCTTTATTTCATAAGGCATCAGTGAAATTAATTTCACCTCTTTCAGTTCATGAAAATGTGTGTTACAGAGAAGGCCAAATTTTATACGCTCCCTTGACTGAACACTAAGGCAATAGAAAATGTTCACGCAATCATAAAGCAATTTCCGCATGTGGCCTTTTGTGACTTGAATGACTAGTAGGATGCAAGCAGTCGAAGGCTAAATTGCTACTTTCTGTAGGGGTATCCATGGTGGTAACTTCCATGATGATGATAATCATCTTGGTAACCTTCCTGATAACCTTGGTGATAACCATGGTAGCCATACTCTGCATATTCATCTTCTGGGCATCGCATGCCTAGTGACTGCTGAATGGCCATCTCCTGTCGTCGAAGTTGCATAGAGTCAATTAAATCATATACAATCACCATGGACCACATTGGGGAAGGATACCAAGATTTGACATTCCCATCTTTGCCAACCAAAAGCATGGAAAAATATTCAGGACTGATCTGGAAATAATTGCGAATGTCTTTCACCAAATGAACAGGGACATCTTCTCTGTCCACACTGGAGCTCCCTAGAAAAGGTCAGAATTAGGGGGAAATGTTAACATTTTCAGATCAGCAGATAAGTTGGTCTTGAAAGCATAGCATATTTAATTGAATATATTTTTACTATTTAAGATAACTGCTATTGCTGAAATTGACCTGGAATTAAATTAGTTGTAGTAGAAATGCTTTTTGATGCTAGAAAGAATCTTTGATAATCATATCTAAGAGAAAAATCCCTCCTTTTTTGTGTTTTGAAGCTGCATTAAGACATTTTTCCAGTAGCAAGTCCAGTGCAATGGGAGAAATTTCTCTTTAGTGTGTCTAATTTCCTACAGAATCCCTATTGATAAGTAAATTATCATATTTTGTTATTACGGTATCCAAAAAAATTTACGTTTAAAAGGATTATGGTATATAAAAAGAATGATTATAGGAAACATTAAATTTTCCAAACTCTTGGACAAGGACCTACGTGTTTATGTATAAGAGACTTCTTGTTTTAATCGTTTGATGTCTAAGTTTACTAAAGTTGTCCCAAAAGGGTCGTTAGAACACCCCAGTTAAATGCCCAGTGCAGCTCTGGCAATAGGAAGTGACCTAAGCAGTCAACATGATTGTTTGAGTAGCATCTCTCTGTTGAATAAACTTAAATTTAAAGCATATTTACCAAAATGCTGAACATCAGAAAAGATGCCTAGAGCAATGGTAGAGAAAGATGAAAAGTTAATTCTGATTGTTATGACCACCCTGCACAGCATGTTACTCAGATTCATTTAACTCTTTATTTTCACGGGCAGAGCATGATGTTATGACTGGGACAGCATCTTACTATCTTCTGGCCTGTGGACTCAGAGAATATAATACTCTCTGGGTTGTCCTCTTGTGGGCAGGAGCCATATCCCTTTGGGAAATGGAGCATAACATATGGATCTGCAAGATTGTCTATGGTTCTCATGTAGAAGTGGTGATGCTGACAGTATTTAAAGAGCATGTGGTATAGGACTATGAAAAGTTCCAGAGTTCACAATAATAGATATAGTAACAAGACATGATAGAAGTTGATTTGATGCGTATGGAAGAAATTAAATCTGCTTTCCAAAATGGGTTTAGTGAAGTACTACCTGCTGTTTGGATTTGGAAACAAACAAAAATCCAACAAAATCTAATGAAAACTATATAAAACAATAATACATGTATCTACAAAAAGTAATAGAAAAAAAAAAGTCAAACAGCAATAACACTGTTCTCCAATTGGGGCTCCAGCATATCACATCTCAAAGAGCTAGAGAAGGATGACACTACAATGTACTTATATGAGGTTACTAATAACATTGTACTGCCTAGTCTCAAGAATAATTCACTATTTCTAAATATAAACAAAATAAATAATGGTTCAGTATAAAGAATAATACACATCATGTTCGTGTTTGGAAATTTAGGACAGTCAAAATCTGAAAAGGATTTCTTACCATTGATTGGATATAGTTCTAGGACTCCACCAATCTCCTCTCCCATGCCTAATAACTTAAGGATAATTATATGCCGCAGACCTATAGAAGAAAGGTATCAATTACTGAATAACATCTTGATGGCAATAATTTTTATAATGCAAAATATACAACAATTATAGAATTGAGGGGGTCCTTGGTGCTCTTGCTTGTTTTCTTACAGACATTTCATTACCCTAACTAGGTAACATCATCAATATTAGTAAGGAGTGCTGTTTGCTGTCAGTTTATATTCTATTTAATTATAGAATTAAATGCAACATTTTGCAAAATATTTTTACTTCAGTTATATAATCATAATTTTTATACTTCCCATGTGTATAGCCCACTGAATATATCTAGAATTACTTCAGGCAGTTCCCCAATCCTGGAGTCTAATAGAGCTAGATACCGTAAGTACAATTCATATTGATACGTTATTTTTTTTTGAAACTCTGTATCAGAATTGCTCAAATCACTATCAAAAAATACAAAGGGGAGCTAGTCCATTGTACTATTTTAGTAGTTTACAAGAATACCATAATTTGACTAAACTTTTGTGAGAAAGGATAGTAGGAAAATCTATATTCATGATCAGTCATTTTTTTCTCTTCATAATTCAGACACTAAGATTAATTTTGGAGATTTGTAAGAATCTAATATTAAACATTTACAGTGCAATCCTATAGATGCCTACTCAGTAATCAATTCTTATATGTTCCAGGACAGGATTGCCGTTTAAGAAACCATCATTTGATCATGATTGTTCACTAAGACCTAAGAAAAAGGAGGATTGTAATTTATCAATTGGCTTATTTCAAAAAAGGAAGAAAATATGAAATTGACCACATGGCCTTTTGACTGATTGCACTATGATCCCTCCATTTGGAAGAATCTTAAAATGATTCAGAAGTTTAAGAAACCTCACTGTAATGGAATTATTTTTAACAGGCATAGATGTAAAGCCACAAAAAAAGAAAGAAAGGAGACAATTATTATCCCAACTTTATTTATTTTTATTAATAGTCTTTCCTACTCATATTTTCCCCACAGTAGCAACCCTTTAAGATGAGTTGGGCTGAGAAATAATGACTGGCCCAAAGTCACCCATCCGGCTTTCATGTCTAAGGCAGGACTAGAACTCACAGTCTCCTGGTTTCTAGCCTGGTGCCTTAACTACTAGATCAAATTGGTTCTTATTATTTACCAAAATTATTACTTACCAAAATTGCATGCTTGCCCATTCAGGGCTGTAAGCTGCTGTGAATAGGCCCAGTCTTCTTCATTGGGAGTGGATATTACCAACAGTCTCCTTCTCCAACGGAATCTGGAATGAAAAAGAGGACATACTAAAAAAAATCCCCATGTTACTGGGTAGAATCCATCAATTAGTCATTACAGCTTTCTGTGTAGCTTCTGCCTATTTATGACAGACATTGTAAAGCAATCAATAGCTCTCCAGATATTAATTCAACATCTGTAGCCTTAGCCACAATGGTCAATGTTGAGGGAGACTGGAAGTTATTCAGCAACAGCTGGAAACTACAGTCTCAAAAGTCCTTTTTTTTCTTCAAAAGGCAACTGGACTGTTTCTTCCTTGAAGAAAAAGATGTTTCTCTTCTCATCCAAGAAGCCTTATCACCCCACCTGATGATGTGGGGTGACGAACTGATGAAGCTTCTTAGATGAGAAGCTAAATGTTTTCTTCTTTGTCCTCAAGGAAAAAACAAATCCAGTTACCTTTTGAAGAAAAAAAGCACCTTTGAGACCTGGATGGCTGAGAATCTCACCAGACATCTGGAAACTATAGTTTATCCACTCCTATCTAGTAGAGGATGAAGTCTATTTAAGGGAAGGGAAAATAATCTACACTTTTGGTTCAGCTGACCTTGATATGTTGTTAAGAAACTCTCCTATTGGTTGCAGCTCTGTTTTATTAATTTATAGTCAGACTCTTCATTCCCCTGGAAAAAAAATTAAAAGACTACATGAAAATTGGCAGGATCTGGAGGATTATGGATAAAAAGGTAGTTTGGAAAGAACCATAACTGTCCATAAAAGAGCTTCCCCACAGAAATATGAGCAAAGTCTTATTTATCAAAAGTCCAAAACAACTTTCTTCAGTTAATTAGTTCTGCTGGGAATACAGTTGTACTTGTTCTCAAATACCTGGGTTGATAGCCATAGTCACTGGCTGGCATCAAAAAGGCTAGCAAGATTGGACAATTGAAGTCCTGCTGCTGTTTATGTACAAGCAATGCACATAAGACATATTAAAAAGATGACAAAATTTTTAATCAGCTGTTTGTACCCAACAATTTGAAATCAGTGATCATTGCTACAAATCCCCGTTGAAACACCCCAAAATTTACTCCTTAGGTTCGTCCTCCTGAAGTGTTATTCTGCATTGCTCAGCTTTTGTAGGACTTTCAGAATTCTTCTAACAAGCAAAATACATCATACAAGCTTGATATACCTTATGTCAACACATTTGGGGTGAAGACTTTTATTTCCAAAAATCTGACTCATTCTGGAAAGTGAGAAGATCCCTGAGGATGCGCTCCAGCATGAGTCCAAAACCTTGGAAGAATAAATCTTTGGTCCAGGTGACTGACTCAGATTGGATCCTGCAACATTATCCTATATTTGCTTTCATTCACAAAATGACTCACTGGGGCTGGAAGGAAATCAGCTTAAGTAATGTTCTTATTAGGTATTTATTTCTGAATATATAGGCTTTTTTAAAAGAAAAAAAACTCAAACTATAGTCGACTACCGTTAACGTAAGATTGTAGAAGGAGTAAAATATAATAATTTTCTTTTATTCTAGACACTCCATCGAAATCCTTTATGGACCTGTTTTTCAAAAGGTCTCTAACAAAGAATAAAAGAAACGTTTGTTACGGAAGGGCAAAGACGAAAAGGTAAAGAAACTATGCGCTGACCTTTCATAGATAGTCTAGTAATACAGACTTCATGGCAATAGGCACTTCATAGTATTGCTATAAAACAAAGAATTAAGAAGAGCTTTAATTGAAAACAAATCTCTTGGCATCTCCCAACTCACATGACTTATGGATACAAGCAGTTTAATATTATCATGATCCAAAAGCTGATATAGTAATAAATTTAGCTGTTCCTAAACTGGTCAGATGTAGTTTAACTGGGAGCTTTTTGCATGCCATCTTGAATTCCATCAGGAAGGAAAGGTATATACACATACCCATATTTGTTTTGCTAAAGGCGACATAGTGAAAACTTCAATGACATCGTAAGGTCTTTAGAATTGTATGTCCTGGACTTCTGCCAAGGGATTGCAGGGCTCCGCACCCTCCGGTCAGTTTTGCCCTGCCTGGGGACCCTAAATGGGTCAAAGGTCAGCCTGCAGAGGTGACGAAGGAAGCCCCCCCCATTGATCATGGAAAGACAGAGGTCAATCCGTTTGATCTGGGGGAAGCCCTTCAACTCGACAGGAGAAAGGCTAGCTGCACTCCAGTGACTAGCCCAAGCTACTGGCATCTGAAGTCCAAAAGCACCAACTAAGAACAACTGTGAACAGAGTGTTTGGAACTAGCTGAGAATATCAATCTTCTCTTCTCTATTTGGAAACTGATTTCCTGGAAAAGATCCCTAAGAAGCAAAAAGTCCTCCAAAAGTGAGAAGGAAGGGGATTATAACTCCACCCTTCCATAGATGGAAGCAGCAATTTAATTTTTATGGGGGACAAAAATACATTGAAATGGATTAATGTAAAGCTATAATCTGGATAAAACTGAAAACTATGGAAATTGTTAAGATTTTCCATTTGAAAGAATATTGATGAAATTATAAGAAAATATTTTTTTTCATTTTAAAAGTTGGAAAATAAACAGCTACTGACATCTAGTGGTGGATCAGAGTATAGAATTATAGCTGCCCTGCCTCAGAAATTGGCAAGATGCCCCAAAACAGAGCACAACTTGTTCCTTTGATCCTCAGTGACTCTAGCTAAATAGAGAACAGCTAGGAATAGAGGAAAGAAAATACACTGGGCTATCTATTGTAGAATGAGAAATACAATTGTTATAAAAACTGCTGACCTTCTTGAATTATAAACACTAAGCTTGATATTTAACTTCAAGAATCATTTGCAGGGAAAGAAAAACTTTGACTTTCTGGCTATTGTTCCAGGGGGGAAATTATTGTATTGTTTTTAAGTGGTTGAACATTTTGGACTGTTCATAAACATAAGAACTATATAAATCTATGGTGTTTGGAACTTAAGACTGGTTGGTTTGATGAAAATGGAGGTTGCATACACAATTAAAAGTGGTAGGAAACCACACTCAATATTCTTTTCTAAAATCCCCAGTCTGGTATATCAGAGATCTGCAGGAGTAATACTTCAAGACAAGACAAATATCTTCCAGGAGGAAATGCATGCTACGTTGCAACTAATCCAAATGACAATTGTTTCAAATCATTATAAGATTAAAAATAATTTTGATGATATAAATGAGCACATTCTTGACTTAAGCTCACACTTAAAAAACTCAGAAAATGATGTCAAAGAATGAACAAATAAATCAGACAATAGAACAAAAATCAGAGGAAAGTGACTCAAAGATGGAGGCTACAGATGAAGAAAATCACAGCTTAACACAGACAAAGAAAAATCTGCAAGATTCTACTAAAATATTGGAAATGGAAAAGACATTTTATTTTTCAGGACTTCAAAACACACCTGAAGATAAGAAAGAAGGTTTGATAAAATGGATTATAGAACTGTCAGGAGAACCACTAGAGTTTGGGAGACAAAAAATGAAAAGAGAAATCGAGGGAGAAGGAAAGTAGAAGCTTCTTAACAAATATAAATGGATGAAACTCTCCCTCAGAAGTGCCTCACTCAACTTGTCTTTCCCATTCTTAACAACACTTATTAAAAATACAGGAAGAATCCCCTGGCAAGCTGAACACACTGACTTGGAAAGCTGCTTGGCAAAAGAAGAAGGCGAGAGCCAGACTCAAGAAAGATGATTTGACCTACCAGATAGAGTACTACATGACTAAACATTTGTTTGCATATGGTTAAAGGAATAGTTAAATCTTGAATATGAATGGCTTTTATAGTAAGAGAGATGTGATTTATAAGTAATATAGTATTTTTTATGATATGGGAAATGTAAAAATATTGGGATGATTTAAATGTATGAAATGTTTTGGATATTTAAATGTAATCAATTTTGAGAAAATTATAACTGACAAGAAATGTTTTGAATACTGAGGAGAAATTAAGCTTAAATAAGAATTCTGAAAACAGGACCCATAGCGATTTACATAAGATGATTTTTTGCAAATGCAGCTGTAAAATAAGTTGATTAGAAAAGATGCTACTTACTGATGTTATTGTTATTTGTATAAATACTAGAAAAATGTCTATATTCAACTTTGTATGTATTGAAAGTACTAAGAACTTTATTTTCTCAATGTTGGTAAAAGGAGAATATTATTGGAAGAAGATCAAGGAAAGGTATTTCTAGTTAGTATGTTGATTATGAAATCATAGAAATAAACCATTATTAATTGTTGTTAAATATATGAACCCAGACAACACGTTGTTTACCAAGCACTAAAGATTGTTATTTTTTAAAAAATCAATAAAATATATATTTTTTAAAAGAATTGCATATCCTGGGTCAGCCTGGTACACCCAAAGGTGCTTTTTAAAAGGTCACTAGACTTTGTTTTTCCTTGAAGACATTTTGCTTTTCATCCAAGAGGTTTCCTCAGTTCTGAACTGAACTGAAGAAGCTTCTTGGATGAGAAGGGAAATGTCTTCAAGGAAAAATAACATCTAGTGACCTTTTAAAAAGCACCTTTGGGATAACTGTGACCTGGATGACTGAGAATCTCCATAGACATCCAGCCGAGTACAGTCTTTTCAAATGAAATGAGCCAATTTTTAAATTAATTCTGCAACTCCACTTTCCTCTTTTATGTTTGTACCCTGAATCATATCTCTCATATGACCAACTCTCCTTTCTGCCCTTCTCATCTCTATTCTTAGTTGGTCACACTAGTCAAATATCATAGTAATTGTAATACAAACCATCCACAGGACATCTGGTCTATTCATTAATTTTGCTAATATACTTCTTCCTACCTTGGCCTTCATATCAGAATCTGTTAACACCATAAAGAAGTCATCATAGGTCATTCCATATTCTCTTCTCAGCTCATTGATGAGATTCTGATCCACCAGGTCTTCGTCCTCTATCACCTTCATAGGATTCTCATTATCTTAAAAAGGAACGAAATGGGGATGAGCAAATGTCTCTGTTCTCTTCTTCAAAGATACCTATCAGATATCACATTAATTTCCACTAATGCAAGCAATGATGGTGAACGCTTGCTACCTTCTTGTCAAACATGAGAAGATTATTCCTTAGATACTACTAATAGGCAGATGGTCTGATATAGACAAAGCAACTTATGAGTCATAGGGTAAAGAATCTATGAGCTTATCTAGGGAAAGAAAAAAATAAATATGGTGGAATACAGACTGTCTCTGTCTCTTTACTTTTTAAAAATATATATATTAAAACTATCTCTGTTGTGCAAATTAGGCAGATCTTCCTCTCCACCAATAAAGGAGAAGGTCTGCATGTCTTTTAGCCATGTTATGCCCTCCCAAGAAAGTAGGTTTGGCTTTCTGGTGATGTAACATTAAAATTAACTGAGATGTATCATCCAATGGCATAATTTTCATTCTCTTTAGATATCAGTGAATCATTTTAAGTATTTTTGTATATGCAGCACAACTTAAAAACCAAGAATGAGCAATCCAAAAATCTACCCAGAAATGGAGTTTCAGAAGACCGGAGAGATCACCACATCCATGGGGAAATGTGCTAAATTCCAAGATCTGTTTAAACCACTTTCCGTATTCATGCCTTTATAAATTAATCATGTCATGGTATGTGGTTTTGTTCATTCTTAAATAGCAATAAAATTTGTTCTCATGAAAGGGATTTCAAGAGATTATTCTAATAAAATGTTCTCATTATTCAATTACATTCATTCCTAAACAGTTTCCTAAATAGAAAATAATTCAAGTATATTATTCTCCTGTCTTTAACTCTCAAAGAAAAACACAGACATGCTACAAAATGAATGTATTTCCATGCCATAATACCAGTAGCTGTAAGCTGTGTTGTTTTTTTAACCTAAACAAATTAAAGGTTCTCATATACAAATCTTTTGGTTTTGTGTATGAAAATTTGTTTACGTGCCACAATTGGCCACGTTCACATACTGCACTCAGTCATGATTCATACAAAATGTTAATCCACTTCTAACCAAGTTACATGGTTTATGTAATGTATAGACTCAGCTTTTCCCTTCATTGTTTATTCAATTAGCCAGAAAAAAAGCTGGCTTCACTCTGTTGCCTTTTGAAATAATACCTTGGCAGTTACTGATGCCATTGCCTATCTTCTATAGGATACCTCAACTAGTATATTCCCACAACCCCAAGATGAGACAATGAGAGCTCTTACAATCTTGTATGTATACAACAATCTGTCATATTGGCAATGGAAAAAGTACAAAGGAAAATGTCTATAATGAATCCTCTTAACCATAGCTTAGAGGTTTCAACACTTCCTTGGGATATGGACCAATTTCACAAAAGTTAAGCAAGCCTTATAAAAAGATGGAGGTATAAAATAGATCCAATATAAAATCCCCCTTTTACTGAAATGAACACAAATACAGTCAACATGCAAGGCAGACTTTTGGATCATGCTGACTTGCTACAATTAGTTTAATTTCCTTTGAGAAAGAAGAGATGTTTTAATTTCATAGTATAGATTAAAAAGAGCTGTCTATAAAGTTAACGACCTCACATTTAGTCTGAAGTATGGCTCAATAGCATTCAATAACCAAGGACGCTTAGTGTCACACATTAAAAAAGAAATAAAAGAATCCAAGCTTACCTTCCAGCCAGACAACTATCAAGTTTAATAAAAAATAAAAGACCCTTGCAACAGTTGTTCTTTTTATTACTTTTTTTCCTGGAAAAGTCACTTTAATTAAAAGCTGAGGAAGGCCACTTCTAGAGCATTCATTTTTCCTGCCCAAATCCAGACCTTTTTCTTTGGTTCTCCTAGGAGTTCTGCCTTTGTTTTTAAAGCTATCTGTAGCCCAGAGAGAGGTTGGGATACTTCTCTGTGTCCTATATGATGGAGGGTACATCACTCTCCTGTAAAGTTCTTGATTCTATATTTAGCCAATGGACCATGAATGTCTGAACTTGTCTGGGTTGCCAGCTGATCTTTACAACACAAGCCCAGCATCCAAATATGTCCAGTTCTTTATTCTCTTTTATTGGACTAAAAGATAACAAAATTAGTGAAGCACAAAAGCACATCAGGACATAACTGGGAGGGACAGCCACAGGAGGGGAAAGAGAAAAAAAATCTTCTCCTTTCCTCTGATGGAATATCAGTGTACGCTCTTCAAATTCACAAAATGGCTTCTTTGGATCCATCCTGATATTTTTAAATTGATCAACCCATCAGAAGCAACTAACAATTTTGCAACATTACAAAAAAAGCAATGGAATATTTTTATTTTTATTATGTCTATACAGCATGAACTTTCTAAAATGTAAATGTTTGTAGCCCGAAGGTATATAATATCAGAGATCATAATACTTTAATTGACAAGAGGAAAGATGTACAGAAAAATACATTTCATCTACTTTTACTTTAGTAAAAAAGAAAACTAACAAAAGGTAAGGCAAACCTTTCTTAGAATCACAAAGCTTGTTTAGAGACAGACTTTCTCCTGCCTTTTCAATTAATTGTCAGAAACTGTTTTACTTGACTCTATAAAATAAGGATATACTAGTCTTGGCAGTATAAGCATGCACTCCCCTTTGTGTGTGAACAGTCTCACAAGCCCAGGGAGTTTCAGGATTTGACTTCTCCTAGTAGAAGTCTTTGAAGAAAGGCTTTCTTGCCCTAAATATTCATGCTGGTGAATGGACAATGAAGGCACCGCCAGTAGAAGTTAGTTTAATTTTGAGGACAGGACAAATGGGATGATTGCCCCCTACTCCCTTTCACTGTTGTCTGGCCTTTCATACAGGTAAAAATTAAGTAAACTTCAATTACATAAAAGAATTAGATATAAAATATGTGGCTAATCACATATTTTATGAGTTAAAAGATTTTGAGTCTATTTTGTGATCTAATCACACTTTTGAACTTTCAGTTGTTTTACTAGTTTGTAAGCTATTAGAAAGATACTCAATAAATCTGAATATGATGCTTAGGAAAAGAAATATCCAAAGGAAATACTAGAGCTACCTGTATACATACAAAAAGGGAATACAAATACATATTATCTGAAAAAGGGTTTTCATATTCTTCCCAACCAGAGGTCTGTCTGTCTGTCTATGTCAACACTGCAACGATCTTGGCTGAAGCAATTTTTGCTTCGTTTTTGGTGCCACAGTACTGGGAGGGGGAATGAGTGGTTTTAAGGTTAGACTAAAGAATAAATTGTCCCGTGGGAACCCAAGGTCATTGCTGCCTGACTTTTAGTGGGCTGAGCTTTCTGTTAGAATGTCAGCCAAAATATTCTATTGGGGAACGTGGGTAATTACACAGTACTGGGGTCGGAAGTTCAACTTTGTAACATTGTAACACTTGGGAGGGAATTCCAGACTTGGTTTCACTTCTGACTGTGCCGATACTTTGTAGGCAATAAATATGTTATTTAAGGAAACCTCTTGCCTTGGAGTTCTGCTTTTACTGGTCTCATCTATCGGAACCATGACAGACAGACAGACAGACAGACAGACAGTCAGTCAGTCAGTCTGTCTGTCTGTCTGTCTGTCTGTCTGTCTGTCTGTCTATCTATCTATCTATCTATACAGCTGTCCATCTCACATTTGTGATTCTAGGTGACTTTCCACACCCACCCTGTCCTTTTAAATGCATACATATATTTATATATTTCATGGTTGCTAATTTCCTTGAGCATTCTATGTAATAAAATTAAACCAACCTAGCTGGAAATGATCGATCTTCATATGACTGTTGTTCATTGTGCCAAAGATGGTGATAACTGAAATTTTTCTAGTCGCCATTTTGCAAAAGCTCTCCAAATATTCATCCCTCTGTTGCGCATACATGTTGTTGTCAGCTTTGGGTGTTGTGATCAGCTAAAAAAATGACAGAGCATTAGTTTCAGGAAACCAAACAACACAAGGCCCAATAACTCATACCCTACCCACCAAGACTTTTCCTTTCCCTGTATTTTAATGGTGATGAGAAACAATATTTACTAGTTGGAATTTTAGATATAATTTGTGACAAGTCAACTCTCATGATATGTATAGTATATTGGATTTAATGCTCTGCCAGAATTAGTTTTGGGGAGAAAATACAGCTAGACACAGTGAGTCTAAGGCTAGCTACCAAAAAATGAATGAAAATTTATTAACTTATCTTTCCAAAACCAACATTCTAATTAATAACACGATAAAATGTTTTCATAGATTATTAGCTACATGTCTAGTATTTCCACAACATTACCATATAGCAAGAAAAATACTATGGCATTAATCAAACAAAACATCCTGATTGTGGATGATAGTGTCCTTGTAAATAGAGTTTTTTATGCATTTGAATTTATTACATATTGCAAATTGCAAATGTACATGGTTAAAAAAAAGGACAGTTTAAAATATACAAAAAAGGAGCCCTTTTGAATTTGTATAATTTGCATTTTAATAGTTAACTAAGTACATTTGTCCTCTATAAATTATTCCTGGTTATTTTTTTCAGCTAGAGTCCAGTTGTAAAAACAAGATTGTTTGAAGGCTAGCATTGTTTGCCTGCCTGATTATTCCCATGATGAAGCAAGAAAATATGACTTGATAAAAGCCTAGAATTTCTATCACTGAAATACAAACTATATCTGTACTTTAGAATTTTACACTGATAGAAGGTGGGACCCACCCTTCTTTAAAAAGTATACAATAAATAAAATGTATTATTTTTTATACTATAATCCAGTTAGGGTGGAATGACTTGATTTATCCATACCTTGCTAAACAAAAGTTATGTGACTGGTTTTA